CTTTATTCCACATGAGGTGATTTGGTAAGTATTTGAAAGAGCTTTTCATCCTGGTACTTTACATTTTCAACATTCAGGATTCAAGACTTTATTGTCATTATGTAAGGATTAAAAGATTAAGGCAATACTCTCTCACATGCTGCAAAAAACACAAATATACTGACATAAACAGAACTACAAAATACAAGATTTAAATACATTACTGATATGCATTAAAAACACACACACACACACACACACACTTTCTCCAAGGGAAAATAAATCACTCACAGCATCCAGGTTGCCTTTGATCTCTTCTATCCGACCAGCGAAGAACAAAAAGATGGATCCCTGGATGAAGACAAACACAGCATGTTTGTGAGGACGACACAAACAATCACAGCAACATTTGAAAAGCACACACAATCATTCATTCTGACATACCTTGGGGTATTTTTTAAGATATGGCTCCAGCAGTTTTTCTGCATCCTCCACGTCTCCTTCTCCAGTGCCTTTGCGAGACAGTCAGAAGGAACCCAGCTCAGATTGCATCTTTTACTGTTAATTTGCAGATGCGCGTGTGTGGGTGTGTTGCTCACCTAGTATGAAGCTCATGAACGTGTGATAACAGAGGAGAAGCATGTTGCACAGGAAGGACCTGAATGTACTTTCTACTGAGCCCTCTTGAAGCTGCTGGAGACCAAACTCCTATATAAACACACACAGTTGTACACATTTTCTGAGTTTGCATTAAGTCTTCATTTGTGAAAGATCTATCAGCCAATTAGCATTAAAACCAGCACACAGAGAACACACTAAAGTAGTTATGGGAAAATCTTCTGTGTTTAGTCAGCGTGTTCTGGGGATAAAACAGCGTCTGCTTGTCTGCAACTTCTCTGACTCACAAACTGGCCTGTGTGCAAAACACGCAAGTACAAAATACAAGAAATGCAGTATTTGCATGTTCATAACCGGAAGATAAATCAGTCATGATGCTAATATTCAAACTGAGGTGCTGATATGATGGCTTGATGTAGTTACAACTGGTGATCACAATTTAGAGAAACAGTCATTGCTCATTATTATCAAAGCAGCCATCATTTCATTGATGGTTGCAAGTTTCATTTCACATTTCCATGAAAAATAACACGACAAACTCATCTTAGTAGTAGCGTGGTAAGCTCAACCACAGATGCACGTACAGTTCTCGAAACACTTCTCAGTCTCTGATTCATAAAGAGGCATTTCAAACAGAGCGGACGGGTGTATCGGCTCTCAAAATATCTCCAACCAAAGCTGTCAGAGAGCGACTTCTCAGAAACGCTTACCTTATTACCAGAGAAACCGACAAACTCCAGCAGCTTGAGTGTCCGAGTAGGCAGCATGGAAATCATCTGCAGGAAGCAAACAAGCAGTGGAAATGAAAAGGTCAGAAACACAATTACAGAACATTTCATTGTTATTACAGATGCTGAACAAATTATGTTGGATTTCTTGCAGCTATCGCCATGTTAGGCTGGAGCAGCTCTTAATTTATGCAGATCTTATGCAGCAAGTCAATCAATGAGGCACAAGTGCAAACTATTACTTACTAGATTAAAAGCTCCCACTCCCAGTTTCACGCCACCCTCAAAATGCCCATGGTTGTCACCATGAGTGTATCCGGAGGACTGCAGGACTGTGTGAAGCTCTCTGAGGGGGTTAAGATATAAGAAAATTAAGGGGAATAAGCTGCGATGAAGTCCTGATGGAAGAATAAAAGGTCTTCCAGGAAACAGGGATGGAAACATGGATATCCTGGAGATACTCACTTGTAAGTCTGGTAGCTGTTCCTCACTTTGATTCCTCCTTTGATGAAACTGATCATGTTTTCATCCTGAGCACGAATGAGTTTAAAAACACAAAACAGAAAATGAGTGACGGTGGCAAACACATCAGTAGCACTCGCTGCTGTAAGCCTCCTGACCTGAAGGAAGGTGAGCGCTGCCCTCTGGAGGAGACACTCGGCGTAACAAACTTCAGCGTGGAGCTCCTCTGAAGTGAAATCGATTGTACCAGTTATTGCCAAACAAACACTCCCAAGGACACACGGGCTCCAGCATAATGACCACACACACACATGCACATGCAGAGGCACATGCAGAGGCACATGCAGAGGCACATGCAGAGGCACATGCAGAGGTACTACTTTAACGTGGAGCAAACACTGAAACATTTAAACACTTACAAAGTCTAAACATTTTAATTATTTAGAATAATTTAATGATCATCTAATAACTTTATGCTAAAGTTATTAAAACCTCAACGATTAAACTGGACTAAAAGAAATACAAGCAGGTTTCTGACTCGAGCATATTCTCAGACTAACATCTGCTTCCTTGGTTTGTCTTTGGGAATGACACACAGACTCATTTGTAAGCATGACTGTACCGACCTTCTGTGAAGTTTTTTGAAAAGGAAGACTTCTTGCGTTGCCTGATGGAGAAACACAAAACGACATCACCCAATATTCTAATCAGTTTAAAACACACACACAATCCTACCTAATGTCGCATTTCCCGTCCTATCATGTTTCCTTTCAGATACGTGACTCAGCCTTATTCATCTAAACACAGCACACTGAGACGCTGCACGATGAGGTTGCTAAAAGAAAAAGGGCTGAGTGTGCGGTAAGTTTCCTGTGAGCAGAGAAACTGCAGCTCTGACATCAGATTGGCCGAAATAAACATGTGTTTATAAGATGACTAATCACATGTGGTGCCCTAAGAAAAGCCTCTGCGATGGATTCTCACAGAGGCTTCAGTAATATTGTTTTTACTGAGCGGGAAGAGTCTCAGGATGTTACTACAGAAACTAGAGCTCATTAAGCTGTTCAATTTTAGGTTGAGACAAAATAAACTTCCACAGCTGACCTCGCTAAAGAGGAACTAACAAAATAAAGAGACCCTGTCATTGTTAGTCAGCTGGTTATTATTTTATCAGCTAACTGACAAAGTCTCACCTCTGGCAGATAGCCTGTGCCTCCTTCATGGTGTTCCCTGCAACTAGGATGTGTTGAGGATCGAAGGTCATCATGGCCTGCATTTCTAGAATGGTGGCGTAGGTCAGAGCGTGGTACATGCTGTCTTTGTTTCTGTAAAACAAACAAACAGAAAAACTATTTTTTTCTGTTGCAATGCACAGGACGAAAAATATTAAATATTGTTTTACAATCTTTTACAGAACAACACATTAACATTTAGTTGCTTTAGATTTAGAATAATAAAACTCGACATCCTGGTTACATAAAGATTAAATAAAAAATATTTCTCATTCTGCAAAAACTTTTTTTAAATGATTGAGGACATAAAATGTTAATAAGCAGTCATCTGACAGAACAACAGTGTCGCCACTAAATGATGAATAACTGCTGACAAGAGACGGGAGACACTGAACACAGCGTCTGTTGGCTTTCACAGTGACGAGGACACCAAAGTACTTGGAGTGTGGACCACGTGCACTTTCCCCACATAAATACCAAAATACTTGTTCAACTTGTTAACAAAGCTTCCTGGTCCTGATCTAAACAGTTAAACAGCTACTAATAAATCAAAACAAGTTAAAGATATACAACATATGTTTGTGCTATTAATAAGGAGTCCTACTGAAGTTATAGCGGACGGTTTAAACAGCCGTATGTATCCTGTGATCAACACATTTTCAAGCATGTCTGTTTGCATATATTACGTGACATAAAGTCAGAGGTGTGCAGGCAGGAATGCTGTCAGGCCGCATGGCCAACATCTCACCAGATTAACTCATGTGACCAGCCTCGGGGATGTTACTCTGACCTCAGACCAGCTCACAATAAACAGATTTTTCACCCCATGAAAACTAGGCCAGCAAATAATAATCATGCTATATCTATATATGTGCACACAAACTGGAAATAAAAAGAGTTGTGAGGCAAACGGAGATAAATGTGACATCATCCATGTGACTTTTTGCCTGTCATGAAAGAAAACTGCAGAATTAAGTAGAGACTTTTGTAAATTAACTAACTACAAACCTTCAACTGTTTGCTGAAATGAATTCAATCAGCTTTAACTCAGTAAACAAACACCAAACAAGCTCAGTAGCAACATGGAAACAGAGAAGGCGGAGGCGCAGACTGAGAAGCAGGGAGATTTGCCTGGGTTACGTTTCCATGGCGTCGGGCTCGTTTATGTGAGACAGCAAGTGAAACTCAGGCTGGGAAAACTTTTAAGATGGAATGTGATTTAAATTTAGTCACACGGCTGCAAAATATCTGTCAGATCTCAGTGATGAAAAGGTCGTAGCACCTCTGATAGCGGTAAAGCTGGGTCTCCAACATATTTTCACCACGTAGTTTCATAATGAAAGGGAGGAGCTGCTTTGAGGTTCGCAAAAACACGTGTGCACCGACACACACCGACACACACCTTGCATTCAGTTGAAGACGATGGAAGCAGCAATGGTAGTTCTGATGAAATCCAAACATTTTCAGTGATTTCTGTGCAGAAATTTGTGGACATTTGCCACAGATCCTAAAATAACTCCTTGTCTGAATTAACCCTGATAGTTTAACCCAAAGAAGACAACAGTACAGGCTACAGAGAAACAACAGCGCAGGTGTATCGAACAGCATCCATGTAAACATCTGCATGCGCCCTCTCAAAATAAAAAAAACACTTGTCTGGTTACCGTGTGGAGCCATTACTCACGTTTCTATATTTTGCAAGGAAAATAGAAAAATATTTCTCCGTTCTTTTCAAGGACACACCACAGGCCACCTGAGCTATTCATTTCCATATATGGAAATACAGTATATAGGACAAAAACAGAGCTTGAGCAATTCTAACGAGTTTGAAAGTCAGTATTTGGTATGACCGACATCCTTCACCACATGCTGAACTCTCTTAGGTAGCTGTAATTTCTTAAAGTAATATTCGGGAATAGTTCTTCAGCTCTTCTTTGGATGTTGGCTGTTTTTGTGTTGTTCTCTGTCAAGATGATCCCAGACTGTGATGTTGAAGTCCGGGCTCTGAGGAGTGTGGTTGGGCCACTGGACGAATATATCGACGATAGGCTGAGCCCATTGTCGATGGTTTTTACAAGGGCGATTTATTTATTTATTTGCCCATGAGTACGTTTGCTAATAATGATGGAGCTAATAGAAGCAGCCGACATTAAAAAAATAAATAATAGCGCTGTTTTAACAGCACCCTCTTTCATCTGCAAGCAAATGCCCCCTCCTCAGAGAGCGCCCAAGTGCTTGTTGATGCAGCTGCAGACGCTGGTGATAGCCTAGCATACTCAGCCGGATGGTGGACACGTGCATGCTCATGCAAGTTAGTGGTGTTTTGGTACTTTACTTGCACTATACGTCTGCACAAGCATTTACATCAGGTTTACCTCTGTCATCTGGCTTAAAGAAATCCAAAATTGGTGACTTTATATTTTTTTAGTGCTGTCAGCGTTAACGCGCCGTCATCTTGACTAATGCCATTAACAATAAACCCATCTGGAGCACAGACGGAGTCAAAATTCCTGAAAAGTGTGTGTCAACGCATTTTGGGTAGTTTGTCCAAAGTTTGTTCATTCTGTGCTCCAGGTGGGCATCAAAAATCGCGTTAATCGTGACGACCGCGTTAACGCCGCATTAATGCGTTAACGCTGACAGCCCTGATTTTGGGGGGAAATTAGTTCGTCCATGCTTGGACTTCTTCTGTATTGTAAACGTGCTAATCAGTCTGTGCATGATTACATTGCTCCGCCCATCAAAAAGCCTGCGCATGCGTGAATATATCGCCCATCGTCGATTATTGGACATGATGATTGCTGGTTGGAAAATTTTTGCATGTCGCCCAACCCTACTGGGGAGGCCAGTCCATGACTGTGTTTTCCTATCCAGGTATGCTCCTTCTGCACTTGCAGTGTGTTTGGGATCCCTGTCATGCTGAACAATGAAGCAGTTGGCAATCAGATGCTTTCTAGATGGTGGCTCAAAATCCGATGGCAGTTGTCTGTGTTGGTAATTCTCTCAGTGGTGAGATACCCAACATGAGTGGCTGAAATGTTGCCCCAAACCATGAAAGAGCCTCCACCAAGTTTTACAGGTAGGTGTAGACACTCAGTACTGTCCCTCTCTCCTGATCTCCTCTGTACAAACCAAAAACGTCACACTTTGATTCATCGGTCTGTATGACCTGTTGCCATTAATTTTCCCTCCAGTTTTTAAAAAAAGGATTTTCTCCTTGTTTGCTTCCTCAAGGTTGGCTTCTTGAAGGCCATCATTCCACTGAGACCATTTGTATTGATGCTGAAGGGCCAGATGGATCTGAAAGTCATGTCCTTTTTCATCTGCAGTAGAGTGTTTATGCCTGCCACTTCTTTTATCATCCTCCACTTGTCCACTTTCCTCAAACTTTAGCTAATAGCCATTTGGTAATCCCCCTTTTGTTCCAAAAATATTATTTTCTGCCTGTCAAACTTTGTTATCTTTGGCATTTTTAATAGATTTGACTAAACAAATGGGAATAAATTATGTATTTTTTATGAGAAGCTTCTAGCAACAAAGTGCCTGAAGATATAACTCAAAGTTAGTTCTTTGCTAAGTTGTCTGACATGTGTAGACACAACACTGGTTCATTGGTTGCCTTGAATGATTCATAGGTCTGAAACAAAAAAGAAAACATTTCTCTGAAAGTGCCTCGGTATAAGGATTGGACTGAAAAGGAGTGAAAACGCTGCCAAGTCCTTCGTAATACCCCGAGAACTATTGCTCAAGACCACAAAATGAAAAGAAAGGCTGGCTCATTGGAAACGAATGCAAAGAAATGAGGCTTGACTCAAGGATTCTGACTTCTAATCATAAACTACAAAACATGAGGAGGTCCTGTGACCTGAATCCCAGCTAAACTACAACACAGCATCTAAAATTAAAGGAATAAACAAATCAGTGATGCACTAAGATTTTCAGGACAATCAGACGCTTGAATATCTCCACAGACCTGCAATAAGTTAACCAGCTACACGATGTACTTCTGCTACTCCTCAGCTGCTGTGGTTTGTTTGGCTTAGTGTCTAGCCTCTTCCTCTTCTGCTTCATCTCGTCCTCCAGCTGTCAGTCCACTTATGGTTTTATGTTTTTATCTGGATCCACTGCTTTTATACCAGTTTATTTATCACTGCTTTCATTGACTGTTCCACTGCCTCCTGATATGACGCACATTTTCAGTAATTTGACATGTAGTTTGCGGTTTTTCTATCACCTTTAATGGCCATTGTATTTCTCGTAAAGTAAATCAAGTTTCCAGTTTTACAACGGCTTTCAGTTAATGAGTGAAGCATAAATCTACTGTCTCCTGTGTTGAGCTGTCCACCTGCACAAACAGTGCTTAAACCAAGTATTGGTCCATGCTTGCTAACAGCGCACTAGTTCCATGTGTCCGTAATAACCGACCCCGTCATAAATAACTGCGGAGGAGGACTTTAACGCACGAGTCTCGCTCAAGACCAAAGTTATCCAAAAGATTCAGGGTGATTGACGATATCCTGTCATTAAGTCTGACGTCACTAGCCGTGTCTGGG